TCCTTATTTATATCATATTCAAGCTTCAGGCTCTGCAAATTACTATGTTCATCAAATGAGATAATTTCATGGTTTTATAGTAAGAATTAAGTGAGAGTAAGTGTGCAAAAAGTGTATGGACTGAAATAACTATTTGTTAATATTTTAGCAGGTAAACTGATGAATTATTGTCAAATCCAAATATAACTATCCAATTTGATTATAATTTTAATTTTAGTTCTACTCTTTTCCTAGACTAACTTTATGAATGCAATATAACAAGTATGAGAACAACTTTAGCAGCTTGGATTATGAGTCTGATGATCACCCAATTTTGGTTCTCTATTGCCAGTCTGGTACTTGATATTGTTCTGGAAGCTTGTGGAGAAAACACAGAGATTAAGTAAAAGCAAAACAAAACAAAAAACTCTCCAAGCTCAAAACCTGTAGAGACAATCTATCAGAATGCTGAAATTACCTCAAAAAGGAAAAACTACATTGAAGATTTAAAAAGTCATCAAAGACATCAAAATGCTTTTCTGCTTTTCTCTAGTAACTACAGTCTGATCTCAAAAAGAGAAGTGAACTAAATGTTGCCAATGTGTAACAAGAATACATTTCTTTATTTAATTAATTTATTTTCCTAACTCAGGACCTTGTGCTTGTGAGGCAGACACAGCACCACCGAGCTAAATCCCCAGCCCTCCTACCAGAGTACCTTTTAAGACCATGGTGACTACTTCTTTCAATTCTTCTAATTACATGATAGCAACAAAAAATGTAGGTAAAATTTTGAGTAAGTACTTTACAGGAGCCTAAAAAGTATTTTGAATATTTTCATAGAATTTAACTAATCCAACAGATGGTTTTGGGCCAATAAATGATTCAGTCTTTAAAGCTGATTCTTTTTGCACAATATTAGTAGCAAAGCTGGGGTAATGGAGAAATTGACAACAAAATTTTGCAACTGAAATAAATGAAAACAGCTTCGATTTTATTTGGTGATCCATAAAGTACCAAGCCAAATCACTGGCATGTAATCCAAATTCAAAGTACTTATTTTAAAAATTCAAACACGTATGCAGTTGTAACCAATAAAAACCAACCAAGCTACTCTCTGTGCATGGAAAATGGTTGGTCATAATATCAATATTTAAAGTTCACCTTAATTTTCCAACTAATTTTTAACCATTATCTTAGAATCAGAAGATTCTTACCACATTGTTCAAAAACAAACAAAACCAAAAAACTCTACTGAAGGCATGCCAGTCCTCAAGAACCACAGGAACAGTTTGAAGAATATATATTGATTTAAAGGTAGTGACTCTCTGAAATGAATTTAACAAATTATAAAAATTCAGGGCCTCCTATAGAAATTATTTTCTTTGAGAAAGAAATATATTCTTTTGGTAAAATTTTCAAACATTGTTTAATTCAAAAATCATTACTTTTCATTTGGCATTTCCCACCACCTTTCCCAAATCTCTAACACACATATGAATTAGTAACTTTAAGACTGTCTCATTCACCATGAACTTTTTCCTATATCTGAGAAAGAGCTCTTCAATAAAACTCTTATTTCCAAAATTGGGATTCAACAAGGAATATGCAAATCAATTCATTTATGACAGGAAAATTACAAATGCAAATACAAAGTAACTAAATTATAGCTAAATGCCAATGATACTTTTAGAATAGTTCTTGGAAAAGTCAAGCTACCTCTTCAATTAAATGACATATTTAAAGAGGAAAGTGAGAGCCAGAATTCAGGATTTCAGAATGAAATAAGTAATGGATAAATTCAAATTTCTCAGCAAAATCATTTGGCTCACAGACCATATAGCGAGTTGCACCTACATAAATGTGACAGACACAAGGTGGTTTGAAACTAACTGAGCCAAGGCATATTTAAAGCATTTGGACACTCCATGGTAATAAATTCTAGCTTATAAATTACATATTTATATAAGAAACAAAATTCTATAAAGCTTCTTAAAATTGTATCCAAAGCATATATGCATTCTGAGGTAGGCGTTATAAAAATCAAAGTTTAGCAATGAAACATTTTTTGAAAAATATGATTAGGTTGCAATTGTGTGTGTGTGTGTATGTGCACCCACAAACAAGTTTCCATATATTACTTCATCTTATTTTACTCTAGTTTACCAGGAAAATTGAGAGAAAATAAAATAAAAAAGGAAATGTGGAATAAGATAATATATTTATTGCTGTATGTCTAAATCTTAGTTACTTGAAGATACTTGACATATAAAAGGATATCCATTGCTGTACTTAAAAATGAAGTATTTTTAGAGTAATACACATTTTTCACATAGTTTCTGATGATATACTTTAAAAGTAATAGATACATTGTAATAGAAATTATCCTAATGGTCAGCACACATTCCAAGATTTTAGTCTAACGTTATATAATTGGTAATTTAACATGTACATGTCATCTGTCTCGTTTTGTAGATGGCAAATTGCTGCACCACTTTATTCAAGCACATTTAACTCAGCAAGCTCATTTAGTGAAACACATTGATTATAAAATTCTAATAAAAACAGAATTTTTGAAAAATGAAAGATTTAGATGAAAAACTTTAACTAAGAATGAGAATTCTGTGTAGTATTTGAAAACTGTATTGGTAAGCTTTCTAACGTACAACTTGAAGAAAGGGTTTATGTGTCTCAGAGTTTCAGAGGTTTTGGTCCATGGTCAGCTGGCTCGGAGGGAGAAGCATCATGGAGCAAGGGTTCAGCAGAAGATTACTTCTAACCTCTTATCAGTCAGAAAGCAGAGCACATAGAACGAGTCAGAGAAGAAAGGGCCAGGGGCCACATATAGCCCAAGGCCACACCCTCGTAATGCATGCAGACGTACTCAGAATTGAGCTTTATTAATTTCATAGGTGTTTCTCAAACCAACCAACTTGGCAATCAAGATTAACCATCATTCCTTGTCAACTTGACAGCCCAAAACATCTCTTTAATTTACAGTCTCCAGAGACAATAACCAGGTCGTAATTCCACTTAATAGGATGTAACTATTTTACATACAACTGAAAACACACTAATTCTTTTCCCAAAGTCTGAACAGTCTCAGCATTACCCAAAAGTCCAAGTCCAAAATCTCTTATGAGATTCATAGCAACTCTTAGTCCCAGTAAAAAAATAAACAAAGCATAAAACCAGTTCCATAATACTAAGATACAACAACATAGGTCAGTAAGCATTCCCATTCTAATTGGGATGAATCAGACTAAACAAGAGGGAAACTCAGCAAACATTAAATTCTTCTGGGCAAACACCAAATCCTGTCACTCTATGTCCAGCATCTGGGACATATGATGGCATGATATGAGCTCCAAAGGGTTTGGGCAACCCTACCCCTGGCCTTGCTGGCCAAAATCCTCTCCTGGGCTGGTTCTACTCACTTCCCATGGCTTTATTTTGCAATCAAGCTGACAATGAAGAGTAACCATCAAAAAAGCCTAGTTACCAGAACTTTTTAAATGCCAGAATTCATATATACAACCTAGTCTTAGAGACACTAAGCTATAACCTGTCCAAGTCCTATTTATCTTTCCTTCACCCAATGATCCAGTGTTTGGGATTGAATCAAGTTTCTTTACTTGCACCTAGAAGTGGGAAGGCCTTGGAGTGGCCACGGAAACAAGGTAAACAACATTTCAGAAAAAAGTTAAAAGTTATAGACAAGAAAGACCAAAAGAAAAAAAAAAAGCAGGTGTGAAGTGAAAACCAGAATCACTATGTGGGTTATCAAACTGACTATCTCTAGACGAGATAGAAATGGGATCAGTCTTGCTATATTCTGGATAGGTAGAGTGTGTAGAGTAGGGTGGGAGAAATAAGCAGCTGTCAGGGAAAGTTGTACAGATAGCCTTGACATTTGTTTTCATCATCTAGTAGATTGATTACCTTTCATGCAAGACCTTGGGGGAACTGTTAAACTATGACCATTGTGGATAGTGCCAAATATAGTTATTTGTTTCTTCTCTTTTTAATATTCTTAGCATCTAATTACTTTACCTCTTAAAAATATTGCTTTGTGGAAACATTATTTTGATGACAGACATTTAATAAATGTTAATAGTAGCTAACATTTGTTGAATGCTTAGCTAAGCACTTTTAGTACTACTTCTTGTTATATATTAATAGTTATTTTACATTTTATATTGATGTAAATAAATTTCAACAAGGTTATACAAACACCTCTTCAATAAAGAAAAGAAGCTAATTTTTAACATGGTAATTATACCCTCTGATGGTAGTGAAACTTTTCCTTATGAAACCTTGTGATATAATTCTCTTCAACAAGAGTGTATGATAATGTAAGCATATGGAGCAATTATGCATTACTAAATTTAATGACCCTAAGGCCAACATTCTACAAAAAAAATGATCTATTTAGGAGAATGAAAGATTCTTATTTATAAAAAGTTGTGTTCCAGAAATGATGCTCAAATCTGGAGTGGAAATTACCTTTGAGAAGAATTGAAAATGAGAAGAAGTATTATAAGGTAAAACGTATGCTGGGGTAAAAGCCATACCTGAGATTAGATATTTGAAATAATAATAGGAAATAAGCATCTTTATTGAGGATGTGGCATTTGACCTTAGGAAAACACAAAAGATAAAACGAAATAGCAGTAACTTAAATGAAATATACTTATAATCAGATTTTTTCGATGAGAATAAAAATGAAAATTAAATAGGGAATATATGACAATTTTTCTGATGATGTTATTGGAAGACTTAACCATCTATCATTCAAATGCTTACATTTGCATTGGCATATTTTCATGTGAAGAGTACCTGATTTCAGAGGGAGTCTGGTTTTCTTCCTTCTTGGAAAAGTGAGTATAAGAATCTACCTGTGATCCAGAAGTTGACAGAAGACCAGATTTCTCAATGATATATGTTCCTGTGTGCAAGATCATCAGGAGAAGGTATTTAAGACCATCTACAAGGAAACATTGATGTTCATCATAGGAAACATGGCCTTGTCTTCCTTAGATGTTTTTCACATGACCATCATGTCAGCAGGATTCTTTGCAGGAATTACTGTAAATGCATTTCTTTTAATTGTGAACTGTAATGACTTCATCAAAATCAGAAAGCTAGCACCAGTGCAAATCCTCCTAATATGTATAGCATTATCTAGACTGGTCCTGCAGATTATATTAATGATGCACAGTGTGGTCTCTGTATTCTTTCCATGCAATTATGAAGAATTTATATATAGTGTAAAAATGATATTCGTTTGGATGCTTTTCAGCTCCATCAGTTTCTAGTTCACTACTTGCCTTTCTGTATTTTATTGCCTCAAGATTTCAGTCTTCACCCAGTCCTGTTTTCTTTGGTTGAAATTTAGAATTTCAAAGCTCATATGCTGGCTGCTTCTGGGAAGTGTGCTAGCATCATTGAGCACTGCATCTGTATGTATTGGACTAAGAGTCCCTATTGCTATCTTCAGAAATGACACACAGGAGAGGATGACAGTCAACATACTGGACACTTATGGATTTCTTCTTCCTAACTTGACATTAATATTTCCTCTAGCCATATTTGTGATCTGCACTTCTATGTTATTCATCTCCCTTTATAAACACACACATCGGATGCAAAATGGACCTCATTGTTCTTCAAATCCCAAGAAAGAAGCCCATATAAATGCATTAAAAACAGTGGTATCATTCTTTTGCTTCTTTGTTTCTTATTTTGCTGCCTTCATGGCAAATATGACATTCAGAGTTCCTTACAGAACTGCTCAGTTCTTTGTGATGAAGGAAATAATGGCAGCATTTCCCGCTGGCCATTCAATTATAATAATCTTGAGTAATTCTAAGTTCCAACAATCATTTAGGAGAATTCTATGCCTGGAAAAGAAACAATGAAGATAAGGATGACTGTGAAATATATTTCTCCTTGATATGGATTCAATAGATTTATTTGTTTTGTGTGTTTACTTTTCCTCTCTCTGTGGCAATTTCTTACCCATGTTTCACCACAAGACATGTGAGATACTAATTCTGATGTTGGATGGAGTGGATGTCTCTTTGTCCAGGGCTTGTGTACTCAAAACTATTGTGATGGTAATACATGTTATTAACTAGCATTCACACTGAAATACCAGTTTGTTTGAGAAATAAGGAAAAAGTCCTAAGACTTCCTGTAGCTAATCAATGTTTTAGATAGTTTATCTGTCTTCCCAAGCCATTGGTAATCTTCTGGTTAAGATAGAGAAAAGCATCTTGATTTAGTTCAAGACTTGAAACAACAGAAGTTGAGTGCCCCCAGCTATCAAAGTATTCTGTTGTAAGGAAGGTTGCTGACAGTGAAGTGTCAGCAGGCAAACGTGACAATTGAGACATTCTTTTCAACTGGGAATCTTGTCTGGGGCATGGCAGCAGCAAATCATTTGAAGATCTAAAGTAAAAGCTTTGGAATTTGTTGCTAGGTTTGAATTGATTCTGCTGTTTAAGAATCTTGAATAGTCTTGCTTGGGAGAGATAGATCTTTTGTAATACTGTTTATATCTTAGAGTATTTTAATGTATAAATTCATCTTGGACAAACAAATAAATAAATGTTGATATTTTAACTGTAACAAATTGTAATTAAAGTAGATTAAAAGTGGTTGGGATGAGGAAAAACTAGATGCGTGTATATGTGGAATGATTTGCCACTGGATAAAAGAAAATTTTAAATCTGTACTAGCATTTCTTTCATTCTTCTCTGAGGCAGAGATTCTCAAATGAGAACAGCTATGAAAATATCATCCACAGTGCTTGTTAAAACAGAGTGGTAGGCCCCACTTCAAGGGTTTCTGTGTCACTAGGTGGTGGGTGGGGCCTGAGAACTGCTAACAAGTCTCTAGGTGATATTCACACTCATGGTCTAGGGGCACACTCTGAGAACCACTAGCCTAAAGTCACTCTGGTTAAGAACCTGGCTCCAGATGCAAATTGGATGGATTCCCATGTGGCCAGCTGCTAATTGGCTCTAAAAACTTGAACATGTTATTAGACTCTCTGCTTAGTCTCCTCATCTGTAAAGTGAAATAATAAAGTACCTACTCCCAGAGGTTGCTGTCAGTCCAGTCTGGATGTGTTAGCAGATGTAAAACATTGGAACAGTTTCTGGCACAGAGCAAAGGTCAGTTAGGCTTAAATTATTGTACTGGGTCAAGAAAAATTTTCAATTACCATTAAATGAAAGGCATGCATTTCTCTACTGTTTTGAAATTGAAGAAATAAAATTAAATTCCATATTAGTACTCTAAAAGATAAAGTATACATCACTTTAGAATGATAGGCAAAGTTAGTATTTTGATGAGGCAGGAAAGGGAGTAAATGAGCATTTTAGAATCCCATAAACCGCAACAGACAGAAGAAAGTGATAAAGCAAAATTGATGAACAACCAGAGGATGTGAGTTGAGAAGAGGAAGGCTGGGAAGGTGATTCTCACCCAAGTTCTCTGGAAAGGCCACTGCAGTGACAAATACACTGGAATCAGAGGTGGCAAATTGCTGTGTGTTGTGGAGATTTGGCCTGGTAAGTAATACAAAACAAGGTAAATCCTGCTTCAAAGAACCATTCACACTCAGTCAAGGCAGCCTACTTTAATCTGTGTCTTGGACATGGATAACTGGAGAAAAGGCTCTAACTGCTCTAAATTTCAGAGGCCCCTTGTTATTGAGATTTGAATATTAGGCACAATTTGTTAGAATTACAGATTACTAGGTGTCTCTTTTTCATGCACGAACCTGTTTTGTAAACAAATATGTCCATTTCTGAGTCATTAGAAAGACCCTCTTCCTTACAGAAATCACTGATCGTTTGTTTAAAACTCTCTTCTAGAATTTATTGGGGTTCTGTGGTATAACAAACATAACTGTCTTAAAATGACCCTGAGAACTTACCTTGGGCTGTGTAAACACTGAGATGATTAGAACTGGAAGTTTTTCTCTCTTTTAAAGGAGAAATTGCTTCCAAACTCGCTTCCCACTTGCTTTTACTCTTGAAAAACAGGAAAGCCACTTTGCACATGTTCCCATTGTCAGCAGATGTGGACTGGACAATTTTTTCAAATTTCCTTGTGAATGGCTGGCATCCAAAGTCAGTAATATTTATTCCCAGATACCTTCTTCCTTAATTTTCTGTGTCCACCTCTTCTTGTTGTAAAGTTGCTCTTAGGCTTGCTTAGTAATAAGGAATTCCCACTACACAACATGTTCACCTTGCCTTGGCCCAGAGCCCTGCCCAGGGACTATTACGAGAATCTGAAGACTTGTCCCTCTTTTTTCCTTCTTTTTGTTTACGACTTTGTCCATCGCTGACACTGTGTGACATGCACAGTGATGACCATAAAGGGGCTACCTCACACACTGTTTCAGAGATGAATGTAAAAATCTCTAATGGCTGATATCCTGGCTTATAGAACATTGTCCTCTTAAAAAATTTGCCAAAGGTACTACCTCATTTGCCAAGGCCAACACTCTCATTGTTCTGCTGTGTAATACATATAATTTTATGGACCTGAATTTATGTAAATAATTATGTTACTTTATTATCTCCTTCCTGTTAAGCATAAATTCTTTCTTATCATGTTTATTTACCACTTGGAAATTGTTCCCTTGGTAAAAAAGGCAATAAAAATAGAAATTAGAGTATTTAACTATGTGATAATATTAGTAATATTATTTATTGCTTCTTCCCAGTAAAGAAACTCTGTCATTCTTCTCTTCTTCAGAGTATAATTTAAGGTTTATTTTACTTCCTTCCTAATTTACAGAGTATTTTAAACTGTAGCTAGCTGTTACATGATAAAATTATTACTACAACTCATTTTAAGTTAATTCATTCGTATAAACATGTTGTTCAGCACTCAAAAGTGTGCTTAATTTCTAAATATATTTATATATATAAATCAGTGTGCTGAAGTTTTCATTTGCTACAATTTTTTAGCTTTTTGTTTTTGTGGAAGCTGAGAACCAGATCTTTATACTTTTCACAGTTTTACGTGCAATAAAATTTTAGTATATGATGTTCATAAGTATACACTTAAGGAAAAGTCTTTGGTAATTCTACATATAATTTCAGTTACTTAGCTTCAAAATAATATTTCCATGTAAGAAAATTCTGAGAATGCATACAAGAGAGCATTAAAGAGAATTTCAAGGGGTAGCATATACTGTTTGTTCATCCAAATGCCTTTCCTTCCCTTCTCTTTTTTATTAAGGATGATGCTGTCATCAAGGATAATTGTTGTTCTTAGTTACTCTAAGAAATCTCCAGACATTCTCAGATTTCCCAGATTTTCTTCTTATTAATTTCCTCTAAGTGTAACTATCAAGATCAGTCACTTGAAATTTAATACATTGTCTCATGATGCGTTCTTACAGTTTTTATCTATTCTAGCCAATTATTTGTAATATTTTTGAAATCACAGGCCATGCTCAATTTTATTTTAATTCCTACAATTAATAATAGTGAACTAAACAGAAACAGGCACTTGAATACAAGTTTTTTATTAAAAGTGGTATCCATCTCCATGAAAATAAGTGCGTAAAATCAGATAACATAAGGATAGGTTAATTCTATTTCCAAAAATTAGTCAATTCAACTTTACTGTCATTTTCATGAGAAAAAAATTCATAAAATTGAACATCAGGGAAAACAGTACAAGAGAATTTAGTTTTACTTTTCAGTTTATGAACTGGGACAAAATTCTAAGTAATGCACTGCTCCCACCTAGTGGCTTTCTCTTTAAATGAAATAATAGTCGAAATAGTCAAAAGACTCCAACCATGAGGGAAATTGGCAAGGAAACTTTTATATTCCATTACAAAGATATGAAATTAATTCTCAAGTCATAGGAAATTTGATAAATGTGAGTAAATAATTAACCTCCTCAAAAGGAAAATTAATAAAGAAAAAAGCAAAACCAAAATCATTTATGACACTTATAATAGGAATCATGATACTCATTGGTATTGGTGTTTATGTTCAGTTTCAAAGATGTTATGCTGTGCTTATGTTTTAAAATAAAAATATTGTTATTTTAAGGGGAAATATTCTAAAATAATTAGTGATAAAATGGTCTGATGGTTCAAAATAATAAGAGAAATGGAGGGAAATTCTAGATATAGTAAAGCATTTTTTTGAAACAAGATTGGCCATGTATTGGTAATTTTAAAGCAGATGATTATTACATGATGATGGGGATGGATTACACAATTTTGTCTTCTTTGTATGTTTAAAATGTTTATGTATGTTTGAAATTTTCTATAACATAAAGTTTTTTTAAAAATCTTGTCGAAAGATACGTGCCTAATTGTGTAAGATTTGATAAAGAAGCTATCTCCATAAGTTGTTGAGCAGAAGTCAGTAGGTTGAGCCATAGGGTAGAAAGAACTCATAATCTTTGTTTTATAAAATGACTTTTGGAGAAATTAATTCATATTAATCCCTTATAAATAAAAGTTTAATGTGCTTCTCAGAAACATATATATGTGAAACTCACATCACCTTGTAAAGGAGATTATTAAACACCTACCAAAAATGAGTTATCCAGATCGAATATATTATATTCTCTCTCCCTCTCTCTCTCTCTGTTGATTTTCTAACCCCTTAACTAAAATGATGGATTTATTGGCTTCTTACTAGGTTTTAGGCAATAATTAGACATCCTATTTTAATTTTTTTCAACTACAAATTAATACCTTCAGAAAATAAAATCTATTTCTTGTCAAACTATAAACACAACTTTACTATAATCTGGGTTCCTTACAGAGCAAAGGCTAAATGTTTCTCTTATAAACTATTTCTTTACCTTTGCAGGAAAGATTTGTTGAGATACGTTTTCCAGAAAATTTTACAAAAAGCTGTGTTTC